CCTCTACTCAGCACCTGGGCTTTAAATTCCCACTCTTCCTTGTATTCAGAGTTGAGCCCCAACTCTCTTCCCCTCTGCAATGAGCCCTACACCGGTTGCAATAGGCTCCCCTTGAATAGCTTCCCTTACTTGCTAAAAATCTTCAGCAAGTGTCATGAATGTTTTTTCACAACAAGGCTCCATGACTTAGTCCTATTTGTGGATAAAGAATGTATAACATTGCACGTTCTCAATATAACATGCATTTTTGATTCGAGGGAAGAATAAAGGTAAAAATCAGGTTTAACCAAATGTGAACCCAAAGTAATGTTACATATGTATTTGAACCCAGGGCCTTGTGCATGCTGGGCAAGTGCTTGATTACTAAGCTACAAGCCCAATCCCAGCCCTCATCTTTCAAACATAAACTCCCATAAAACCCTTCTGACTCAAGAAATTATGTTGGTTTAATGAACATTTCCTGCACAAAAGGAAGAAGGAATTATCTCATATATCAGAAAGAAAAATTAACCTTTAACGTGTCTTCCTGCAAAACAGTCCTCTCTTTTCAGTGGCTGAATATTCTCTCTGCCCCTGGCCAAGGCTGGGGACCAAGGTGACCTGGGAAATGCTGGGTGATAAGGTTTGAAGGGCAAGGGGTGGAATACAAAGAGAAGTACCCCCCACATCCTTGCCCACCCTATGGGAAGACAGTTAGGTAATCAGAAGACAGAGCCACCTCTATTCCATCCTTCTTCAGCTCCCTTGCTTTCTCTGTACCTCACCCATTCCAGGGTGCTTGGAAGCCCCAGAGCCTATATCCTGTACCTTCTGCTGTGTCTGTGATGTCCCTGGAAGTGCCTATGATCATGTGTCTCACTTTGTCTCTCTGTGGCCCCTCCCGACCAGGCCATACCTCTTCTTGTCAAGCCCTTCAGTATTGCTTGAAGACCCTTCCTTAGGTAAATATGACTAATTCAAACTCCTCAACCACCCATCAAAGATCAAAATTGCATCAACTTAAAGACCTTCATTGACTCTATTTTCTATTCTAGAATCAGGCAACACTTTGTTCTATAAAATAGAACAAGTGTTGCAATGAGCAAAGCAGAAAAGTTTGGTTTTATAGACAGAAAAGTGTTGAAGAAAACAGAAGTAGGAAATGAAAATGAATTGGTCATCTTAAAATTACTTTCCTTATAAGGCAGAGGCAGGGAGATAGGACAATCGAAAAAGAAACGACTGGTTTAAATTAGATTAAAACTGGCCAGTTTGGGGAAGTTCTGTTGTTCTCTTCCTTATCCTGATTTCTCAAGTCAGAAAACAGCTTAGTTTCAGTTGACAACATAGAATTTAGCATGAATGACTCCATTTTGATTTTTACCAGTTCTTTTGGGGCCTGGTACAGGAGTTTAGTGCAAAAAAATGGCTTCCAGTAATTTTTATGTAACACATCTAAAAAAGAGAGAGAAAAATGTAAACTTCCCTTCACCCTCTTCCCCCACCTCTACGCACAGTACAAGGAATCAAACCCAGGGGTATTTTACCACTGAGAAGCATCCCCAATCCTTTCTATTTATTACTTTTTTAAAAAATACTTTTAAGTTGTAGATGGACACAATACCTTTATTTTATTTATTTTTATGTGGTGCTGATGATCGAACCCAGTGTCTCACACGTGCTAGGCAAGTGCTCTACCACTGAGTCACAACCCCAGCCCTCTATTTATTACTTTGAAACAGGGTCTCACTAAGTTGCTGAGGCTGGCCTCAAAACTGTAATCCTCCTACTTCAGCCTCCTGGAATTATGGGCATGCACTGCCACCTGCTTACCTTCATCATTTAAGAGGTTAGTTTATAAGAAAGAAGACAGATGAACTGGAGATACAATGTAACAGTGGCCCACTTTATGCTTTGAATATAGCACTTGCTGCTCTGCCATTGCAACTTATTTTTAAAATGGACATGTTTCTTTTTTTTTTTTAACCATACGATTTATTTTTATTTTTTTTAGTCATACATGACAGCAGAATGTATTTTGACATATAATACATATATGGAATGTACATACATCAATCATATTGTCTATTCTATTCTATTGCACTTCCTATCCCCCCCTACTCCTCCCCTCCTCTCCCATCCTTTCTCACTATCCAATTTAATGTGACACACTTTTTTTTCTTTTTCTCATCACAACATCATATGTGTATTCTGTATAACAATGAGGTTCTCCTTCCATCTTTTGCGCAACTCCCCTTCTCCCTCTTTTTCCCTCCCATCTCTCTTCCCTATTTAGTGGTAGTCTTCTTCTCATGCTCTTCCTCCCTATCCCATTTTGAGTCACCCCCAAATGTCTTATCAGACATTACCTCTTAATGTCTTATCAGAGAAGACATTCGGCATTTGTTTTTTAGGGATTGGCTAACTTCACTTAGCATAATCTGCTCTAATGCCATCCATTTGCCTGCAAATGCCATGATCTTATTATTTTTTAGTGCTGAGTAATATTCCGTTGTGTATAAATGCCACATTTTTTAATCCATTCATTTATTGAAGGGCATCTAGGTTGGTTCCACATTCTAGCTATTGTGAATTGTGCTGCTATAAACATTGATGTCGCTGTGTCCCTGTAGTATGCTCTTTTTTAGGTCTTTTGGGTATAGTCCGAGAAGGGGAATATCTGGGTCAAATGGTGGTTCCATTCCCAACTTTCCAAGGAATCTCCATACTGCTTTCCAAATTGGCTGCACCAATTTGCAGTCCCACCAGCAATGTATGAGTGTACCTTCCCCGCCCCCCATCCTCGCCAGCACCTATTGTTGTTTGACTTCATAATGGCTGCCATTCTTATTGGAGTGAGATGGTATCTTAGAGTAGTTTTAATTTGCATTTCTCTGATTGCTAGAGATGGTAAGCATTTTTTCATGTATTTGTTGATTGATTGTATATCGTCTTCTGAGAAGTTTCTGTTCAAGTCCTTGGCCTAATTAAAATGGACATGTTTCTTTCTCTTCCTACCTCCCTGTTTCTTTCTAGGCTCTCCCCCTCCCTAATCTCATGGGAAACAGGATTATCTTTCTTCTCCATTTTAGGCAGATATATCTGTTCTTGTACACATCCATAGGAACCAAGTAATCCAGACTTGGGGATGGTACCAGAGGTTCTCAGAAATGACAAATATACAAGTGAATTACAACTCCAACAGGGAACACAGGGAATGTAGCCTTTGAATCACTTTTTTTTTTTTTTTTTTTTTGTACCAGGGATTGAACTCAGGGGCACTTAACCACTGATCCACATCCCCAGCACTTTTTAATATTCTATCTTTGAGACAAGGTCTCATTGGGCTACTTAGGACCTCGTTAAATTGCTGAGGCTGACTTTGAACTAGAAATCCTGCTGGGATCTTCCTGCCTCAGCCTTCCAAGCCGTACCCAGCTTTGAATCACCTCTTTAAAAGCTCCCTGTTCCTGCTGATGAGCAGAATCACAGCCTTTAGGACAGAAGTCCTAACAAAGCAATAAACCTTCTTTTTCCTTTTTTCTCAAAATCTTGTCCTCCTTATTGGATTGGCTTTAGGGACAAGGACCAAGCTTAGTGATAGAGTGCTTGCCTATCTCTAGTATGCTTGAGAACCTGGGTTCAATTCCCAGCCCCCACCCATGCATGCAAGTGCCCCCCCACACACACACACACACTTGGGGAGGGGGTAGTTGGGTGTGGGGGACAGACAGACATGGCTGCAAGCAGAAAAAAGACTCAGACTCTTAAAAAGCAACATAACAATCTCTTATGAATTGTAAGCTAAATGCCATTTCATATTTTAAAGTCTCTGGATGCATTTTAAACCAATTGAATGTCATTGTTGGCAGTACATGAAATAATAGTGCCTTTTACAATCAATGACTCTTTTTTTATTCAAAAAACTAAATAATTAAATGGTAATTTAGTAATTTATTTTACAGCAATGAACAAATATTTGTCAAAAAGTAAATCTTTTTATTCACAGTTAATAAAGTTACTGTTTTCACAAAGCTAGAAATCAGCAATTTCACCGTTATTGATTGCCTCTGCTGGCTCAGGCTGGACTTGTGCTTTCTCCCAAGAGTCAGATACACAAGACAAGGTCCCTCAGCTAAGCTCAGAGTAGCCTCCACAAATTAGACTAAGAATTCAGTTAACAATTTCAAATGACTACAGATTTTATGTCACTTGGAGCAATGAGTTAAAAGTACATAAACAAACATCATATTCGCAGAATGTTAGAACAAACAGGATTACACAGTTTTTGTGAAAACACCGTGTTTGAAGTGTACTTACATAGAAGCCAAATATCAAGGGTGAGTCAGAGGGGTCACTGACCTGGTGGAGGGATCAATGTGCCTCAGAGGAGGAATATTCAAAGAATGATCGGAAAGCAATGTCAAATGTAGAGGTAGACATAGATCTGTAAAAAGCTGGGGTGACTGTGCAATCAAAGATTTTTGGACATTGACACCAGAGGCTTTGGTTTAAATCCTGGCCAAACTGCCCACTGGCTGGGAAACGTTATTTTGCCTCCTTTGTAAAATGGCTATAAAATGTTATTTTTAAAAGTAATGTGAGGATCTGAGATCATATTTGTAAAATACTGGGCAGGGAGCAGACAATGCAATAAATGGTAATAAAATTGTTTAGACGATTATATAAGAGAATATGCAAAGCTGCGCGGACAACTAACAGAATCTGTGATTAAAATAGATTGTAGGAAAGAATGCGGTAGGAAATTAGTGCAGCGGCTTTTCCAGTCATTTAGATGAGAGGTCAGGGGGCGGGAATTGTGTCCAACGCGGTATCTGTGGGTGCAGGTACAAGCAGCGCCCGGCTCTGCTCTGTCCGCCACTTCCAGGCAGCGCTGCACGCCCGCCCCGGTCTCCAGCAGGAGTGTCGTCCCGGTAGGCGGAGCCGCTGGCCCCGCCCCGCCCCACCCGCCCCCTGCCCGAGCGTCGTTCTGGTGGGCGGAGCGCTAGCGGCCCCGCCTCTCCCCTCCCAGCCACTGCCACCGCTGGCCTGCGAGCCTTCTGCGGGTGGTGACTGCTGAGGCCGGAAAGGCGAGGCGGCAACATGCTGGGCATGATCAGGAACTCGCTGTTCGGGAGCGTAGAGACTTGGCCTTGGCAGGTTCTGAGCACTGGGGGCAAGGTAAGCCCGTAGGGCTGCTGAGAACTTGAAGGAGGCCTGCGACTTCGCCTCATCCTGGCCCGGGCTTCAGGGTTTTCTGAGGACGGGTGGGATGGGACTGTGCCCCCCGAGTGTGCGTTCTGGTCTCTGCCGTGATTTGGCCCCCTACTACCCAGAGAAGGAGAGGAACTAAAGGTCCTGTGCAGCCAGACCAGGGGTCAGGGGAGAGGTTGATGGGCGGGGGGTGGGGGGGTATCCACCTTGGCGAGTTGGACACCGCCTGATGAAACATTTGTTCATTAAAACATTCTGAACATTTTTGTTTGTTGAGAGACACATCGTTGTAGAAATGGCTCCCCAAAAGCCCTTGCCGGCACTAAACTTCCAAGTACTAGAGAACTGAGTATTAAAGAACAAGTAAGGTCTGTACTGCATAGACCTGATGCATGATGGGTGGGGGTACACAGGGAAGGGAGCAGGCTAATTCTGATCTTCATAGGAGTGCCATGAACAAGGCCTCAGGGATGATTAAGAGTACACAAAATAGATTAGAGCATATGCAAAGGCCCAGAGCCATACTGTTGCTTTTGGACAACTGTTAAGAGTTGGCTGTGCGCGTTCGCACACACCTGTAATCCCTGCGGCTCCCGAGGCTGAGGCAGGAGGATGGCAGGTTCAAAGCCAGCAAGAGCAAGTTGCTAAGTAACTCAGTGAGACCCTGTCTCTAAATAAAATACTAAATAAGAATGGGGATGTGGCTCAGTGGTTGAGTGTCCCCGAGTTCAATCCCCAGTAGCCCCCTCTCCAAAAACAGGAACTGCTAGAATTGGATGAATAAAATGAATGAGGAATAATTGCTTTATTTCCCCAAATTTATATCAGTGGGACTGCCTCCCTGAAAACAAGGAGTGTGTTGCTTGATTATAATATCCTTTCAGACAGGCACTTTGTATAGTGAAGCTGTATATAACCTCCCAGCACACCATCTCACTTTTTTAAAGGACCATGTTACCTGGGGGCCAACTTCTGAAACAGTACAAGGGGCATCAAACAAAAGCCCTTCACTCAACTCTAGTCTGGACTGTTCAGCCAGCCAGAGGCTTGTCACTCATCCCCGTATCTAATTTTCCCCATCTATATGTAGACTGAGTAGTTTAAGGCCCAGTCAAGGTGACACATTCAGATGCCTGCAGCGCCCAGGCAGGTAATGGAAATGAACTAAACTGACTGTTTTTTACTATACAGCATGGTGGAAACAGAGGCAAAACTCGAGAGAAAGCTCAGATTTGCATGTATAAAAGATGACTTTAACCAGTTGTTGCAATGCAGTAATGTGAAAAAGTATTCCTTTTTTTTTTTTTTTTTATTAGTGTTGGGGATTGAATGCAGGTTCTCATGCATTGTAGGCAACTGAGTTACAGGCCCAGTGTTGCCAGATTTTTAAGGAAAATCAGATATCCAAATTCTTTATGTGAAACCTCCCAATTTAATATTCATTAACTTAACAAATAACACATTTTTTAATGCCAGCTATGTGCCAGTCACTCTTCTAGGCTATCAGAATAAAGAGTAGACAAAACCAACAAAAATCCCTGCCTTCATGGAGTTTATGTTTTAGTGATTAATGATCAAATAAATAAGTAACTATATCCAATATCAGGTGGTAATCTGTACTATGAAAAAAAGCAAGCAGGGGCCCTTGGAGGTGGCTTTGGTGGTAGAACACTTACCATGCAGAAAGGCTCTGGGTTTCATCCCCAGCACCAAAAAAAAAAAAGCAAGCAGGGAAGGGGAGTAAGGAATCGGGAGCACTAGAAGTGATGCTTTGGCTTTGAGTCAGACTAACCATTAATAAGTGACTAAAAATGTTCGTAAACACTGCAAGGATCCTGCCTGGATCAGATCATGCCAGTGTCAAACCGGTCTGTGGTTTCAGCCCTGATAAGGTTCCTGTGGCTCCAATAGATCAGAATGTGTGTTACAAACCGCTCCCAGAGAGCCTTCTTTTCTATAATGAATGGGGCTCACTTGGTCTTTTTGGCTTAATGGTGATGCCCATTCAGCGACTGAGCTGGTCTGTGGCCTGTACCTTCGATTCCTTTCTCACCCATTCCTAGCCCTGCTGTCTGTCAGTGTGAAGTCCAGGCTGAACCCTGTGAGTTATTTCCCAGTCTCAGCTGTCAGCTGACTCCCATCTTGGTTTGCCCAGTGTGTGTGTGTGTGAGGGGGGGTATAGTGAGAGACAGAAAGTCTCCAACACTAGATTTGGGCACTTGTAACTTTGGCTTCTCTTACACATGCCTCCATGGTTCTAGCTTCTACTCAGTGATCCAAATACTGAAGCCCAGGTAACAGGTAATCCTCTGTCTTTCTTAGGATGTTTACTAACCTCTGGGCTACCTCTCTGTCCTGTTTGGCATCTCAATTCTTCTGTTACCTATGTAACCAATTCCTTGCATTATAATGCTTCTGTTCTGAGTGCTCCAGTCATTCCTATTCCTATTAGAAGCTTATTAATAATGTCACCTGCCACTGATTTGTTACCTCTAGAGATAAATACATCTTTTTATAAGCATTTCCTGCCATGTTTGATGGGACCATGGGGCCATATGGGATATGATATATTATTGATACTGTTACCAGGCCGAAGCAAATCATTCGACCTGAAGGAATCCCAGTTTCTGCAGCTGGAATGGGTATAAAAGTAGCTTTACCATCTACTCCCAGAGATACTATAATTTTTTAAAAAAATATGAAACTGTTTTATAAGCAAGTACTCTCTACATATAATAATTCAATTATGTCAGAACTTGCCTGTGCCCCACTGTTACAAGCAACTTAATCTCTGAAGCTAATCATGAGAGAAAGTAATAGTTCATGTCTTAATAGATGGTTTTGAGGTTTTAGAGAGATAATCAATTATAAATTGCTCCACAGCACACCTGGCCCTTGGTTGAGCACCATTACTGTTAGCTTCCCCCAGTTTTACAGGTAGTTTTAGGTCAGTTACTTAACATCTCGACCTCCTTTCATTTCTCAATTCTGAAGATAAGCTGGTGTGGCAAATAATTAAATATTAAAGAGTCATGTAAACTTTTTTTTTCTAAATATTTTTTTAGTTTTCAAAGGACCTTTGTTTTATTTCTTTATATATGGTGCTGAGAATCGAACCCAGTGCCTCACACATGCTAGGCAAGTGCTCTTCCACTGAGCTACAACCCCAGCCCATCGTCATGTAAACTTTTAATTTACAAAGCCAGTGTGTAATTATTTTGAAGACAGCCTCTGCCTGAAATTATGTCCCTTATTCTGGAAAGAGTTTGGGCCAGAAATTGTTGGCCACACTCCCTGGCAAATGGATGTTTCCCAATAGTGTGGGCTTCAGGCTCTCCAGATGCTCAGGCCAACTTCAGGCACACCGTCCGGCAGACCTTTTCAAGTGTCTCCTTCATTGCTTAGGGAATGTTATGGTTTGAATATAAGGTGTCCCCCAAAAGCTCCTGGGTTAATGCAGAAATATTTGGAAGTGAAATGATTAGATTGTGAGACCTGCAGTCCAATCAGTCCATGACTGGTTGGTAACTGAAGTCAGGTGGGGCATGGCTGGAGGAAGTGGGTCACCAGGTGTGTGACCTGAAGGTGCCTCTTCCCTGCAATCCCTTCCTTTTCCTTTTTCTCTCTCATATATTCGTATTCTCTCTCTCTCTCTCTCTCTCTCTCTCTCTCTCTCTCTCTCTCTCTCTCCTCTCTGACCCTGCCATGAGTAGCCAGGCCACCCATCCACATCACCCCCAACCATGACTGCCACACTTTGGGTCCCAAACAATGAAATCATCCATCTATGGACCAAGACCTCTGAAACTGTGATCCCCAAATAAACTTTAACTCCTTGTCAGGTATTTTGATCACAGCCATGTAAAAGCTGACTAATACAGGTAGGGAGAAGGGTAGATAGCTTTCTGTGTGGGATTGGGTGGGTCTTATGAATGTTCAGAGCATGACTGATAATTAAAAACTTGGTCTTTATCAGATGTGCCCAGCCTGTGCAAATATGTTAGGACCCGATAGCCTGGGTTCAGTCCTGGTTCCACTGTTGGACTACCTCTCCAGTTTGCTCTAGAAATGAGTATTTAAAGCACTAAATTTCTCACAGACTTGATGGAAGAATTGAATGAATTAATTAATGTAAAGTGTTTAAACAATGCCAGACATAGAAAGTATTCCATTAGGATACTAATATTGGGTGCAGTGGCACACGCCTATAATCCCAGAAGCTTGGGAGGCTGAGGCAGGAGGTTTGAGAGTTCAAATCCAGCCTCAGCAAAAGTGAGGTGCTAAGCAATTCATTGAGACCCTGTCTCTAAATAAAATACAAAATACGGCTGGGGATGAGGCTCAGTAGATGAGTACCCCTGAGTTAAATCCCCGGTAACCACCCCCCAAAAAAGGATACTATTATTAATAGTATAATGAGAAAGCAGGCTTCCATAATCAACATGTATACCCCACATCAATAGCAACTGGGCACCCTGGCACCCGCCTGTAATCCCAGTGGCTCAGGAGGCTGAGGAGGGTTCACAAGTTCAAAGCCAACCTCATCGATTTAGTGAGGCCCTAAGCAACTCAGCAAGACCCTGTCTCTAAAAAGGGACGGGATGTAGCTCAGTGATTGAGCGCCCCTGGTTCAATCCCAAGTACCAAAAAAAAAGGAAAAAAGAAAAGAAATAGCAGGAGGCTGATGAGAAGGTATTCTGGGTGTGACTAGAAGGATAGAAAGAAGCTGGGTGGTGTCAGGATTATCCAGAATAGGCTAAGAACTCGGTGAACGAAGGCTTTTAGACAAGGAATGGGTGAACATGATTGGATTTATATAGATTGTTCTACATAGGTCCGTGGGCAGTTTCAACCCCATTTAGAATCTCCCTGTATACTGATGATTCCCCAAGTTACATCTTTTTGTTTATGCCAGCCTCCTGCGAGCTCCAGATCCCGGTATAACTAACTTCCCAATGGACACTTTG